CCTCCTCCAGAAAACTTAAATGCCGAGGAACTAGACTATTTAATTGTGCAAGGAAATATTAATAATGCAATTAATAATAGAGACCCAGGAAGAATAAATGAAAGAAATATTTTTGATTTGAGACAACATTTTATTAACAATCATTTTAGACATTTGTGAAAAACTTTTGGATTTTTTATCTTAATTTTAAGTTATTTTTGTTGCACATACCTAAACATTAACATTTTTTCTTTATTAAACCATTAAATATCAATTTGTAATAAAAATAGTTTTATTTGTAATAAACAATGATAAAATTTATTTTTTAAACGAGAAAAAAACCAAACTTGATAGATTTTCAACAAAATTTTATAAAAAAAAATGTATGGGAAAATAATTTCCAAGTAAAACTTCTTCTTTAAGTGTTCACATGTGAAAATCTACAAAGTTTGGTTTTTCTCATTAAAACAATATGGATTTTCATCAAGTAAAAGTTGAAACGATAAAGAATTTGCATTTTAAATATGTTACAAACTGCAATGCAAATCTCACAGAGAAGACCGTTTGGAAGCAAGTTCTAACTTGAGAAGTTCTATTTTCATTTTTTTTTCCTCCTTTTCCAAATTTACAACAATAAGTTTTTGTTTGTTTTCCTCTCTCGCAAAATTATTTTGTTCAGTAATTTGCTCAATTTGTTTCTCAACTAAAACAAGTCTTCTATCCAGTAACCTATTGTATTTATCAGATACATCTGAAGATGTAAGTGTTTTAATTTTTGTTGTAGGTCTTCTCCTGCTACAGTTAATACTAGAACTGGGTGTTGTTAATTCAGAACTAGTAGAGGTGTTAAGAGTTTTTGGTGGACATCTCTGGTACTGACTTGTTGCATTGGTCTCTTTATTTATACCATCCTCCAATGTTATTTCCGTATTAGGCTGAAAATGATGATGAAATATAAAATACAATAAACAGATTAAATTATATTTTAACTTACTTGTTTTGCTAAAGGTACTGGAGAAAATTCGAATTCTGTTTCTTTCCTTTTCCTTTTTCTGATTGCAGCTTCCTCCCATCTTTTATTTTTTTCCAAAAGTGAACATGATTTAGACGTTTTTGCAGCAGGGGATAATTCGACTTCTCTCGAATATAATTCTTCAGAAGTTGCACTATCAGAGTCAAAAGGCACATTAAAACCTTTAACTGTTTTCTCGTTCACAATTTGCAATAAAACCTCCTCATTGGCCTCCAATTTAACCACTTGTGAAGTCCCACCACCAGTCAAATATGTTTCCTTTTTATTATTGGCCATTTTTCTTCTCAGTTCCTTCTTTTTGTTCTCATATAGACGTTTTAACTGATTCGAACTTCTGAAGCAAGCAATCTGCGTGTTATTATTAAATTCCACTTCAATTTGGTCCCACACATGGTTTTTTTCCTGTATGCTAACTTTGTTAGTTTTTTTGTCCTCCAGAATGTGACTATACTTAGCAACTAAATTAATAAGAAAGTCTTTTTCATTAGGTGTGAAATTAGGAACTCTTTTTGAACTATCAGTATCCATAATCACAATGATAAAAATAATAAAATTAACAAATTTATAATATGAATCAGGATGGTTTGTATTTTAAATGCGTTATCGTTAACAATATCGACCGTATTTTAGAAGGAGTAGGTGGTTATTTTCTACTTCTTTTTTAAATATAACATTGTTGCCAAATGTGTACTAAGGATTACTAAATCCACCTACCGTGCATACCAAAATACTTCTCAACAGCTAATCCAGATTTATAAATCGAGATCAAATGTTAAAACGGTGCATACAGGCGTTAATTTTTTACATTAGACACAAGACCTGTGATGTCACATTAAATCGTGAATATGAGATAAAGGATTTTGGAGTTGTCTTTCAGTCTAATTTGAAGTTTAATAACCATTTCTTACACATAACTAAAAAAACAATAAAAGCTTTGGGTTTTTAAATCAGAAATACAAAAAAAAATTAGAATTACCACCAAAATCAAATTATATAATGCCTTACTAAGACCCATCTTGAGTATGTTTCACAAATATGGATGCCTTTGAAAGCCACACATATTGATCATATTGAAAAAGTACAAAAAATATTTTTATCATACCTTTATGCCATAAAAAATACTTGTACCTTTATAAGATCTCATATAAAACTATGCTCGATAGTTTTAAGATTAAATCTCTTTTACAAAGAAGAAAGCAACAGGCTGTGATATATTTGGTACTCTATTTTAAATAATGTTAAGTACAAAGATTGTGATTTGATTGACTATATAAATTTTAATGTGGCAAAGATTAATCTAAGAATCCCAAGTAACAAAAAATTATTTAGTTTAGATCCAAGTAGTATATTTCCTTTTAACAAGATAATGGCTGTTACCAATGAGTTTTTTAGCGAGGTCTAAATAGATATCGTTAATATTAGCCCAAGAAAGTTGAGGACTGTACTAAATTAAGTTCACTAGATATAAAGGTTTGTTTTGTTTTTAAAGTTCTTGTTACTTAACTCTACATGTAACTACTATTAATTTTTTATAGTATCCAATAAATAAATTATACATTATGGCTGCTTTCAAACAATTCTGTGTGTAGTCACTCAGTTTAAAGTTAATTTTAAATTAATGAGTTTAATAAGAATGTCAAATAGTGATATGTATAGTGTCTATGAATTTGCTGTGTGTAGTAAATGGCCAATAAACATAACTTTGATATTTTTATTACAAGTGTAAAAACTACGAAAACCATATACATAGTTCCCATTTTTAAATAAATTCATAATAAAAAGTAACGATTTTAGTCTGCCATACTTGAACTCATTCACTAAAACAAGTCACTGAGTATATATTTGTAAAAAAAACTACACTAAATATGTCTCCATTATAAATTTTAATATTTAAAACTACATACTTTCCTAGATTTCCTAGATTTTGCAGTAAGTACCTAAATAACGTATAGAATAAATTTCTACAACATAGAAAAGTTTTAGATTAGAGTAATTCTTAAGAAATAAAGCAAAACCTCTATTTTGTTACTCTAACCTTGTGTGTTATATATTTTCCTTGACAAGCTAACGTTATAGTTTGAACTAAAAGTAATTAAACTTTTCACTAAAAAGTAATATTTCACATATATAAAAAAATTTTAAAACGGTTCTGCCTTCTCACATTTGCGAAGACTGCCCTGATATCTAATCTATTTTCTTCTTCAAAGTAATTAAGTTGTTCAACCGTTGTCTATAAAGGTATCTCACATCTCGCTCATACACACAAATTTGAAAAGCAACAGAACAAAAATTCAACTAACCAGGTATACCAAGTCCGTGTAAAGAAAACTTTTCATATCCCGAAAACGTCAAGTGTCAACTAAAATTTCTACTTTTAAAGATCAAACGTGCCGCCTCAGAGTGCCAATACTGATTGATATATATACTGGGCTATTGACAAGCATTCTACCCCACAAAGCATGTATCTTCTAGAGACCCCACGCCAATGTTAAACTTTTAAACCAAATTAGCGCCACCTTGTGTTTGGAGCTGGAACTAAAATGACAATTGACGGATGGCGGTAAATTCAAATTGTAATTTTTAGGAGTAGGTAGTAGTTTTAAATTAAATTTTAAATGATTTCCACATAAATTATTTTATAAAATAAAGTATGGAACTAGTAAGTTCGAAACTTTTGTTTTACAAAATAATTTAGGTCGATTATACCAAATTTGAAGAATTAATTTGTTATAAGGGGTCTAATGTGGAGAGTTGGTTCTGCATATTTTTATTAAATAAATATAAGATATATCTATAAATAATAAAATAGAACATTCTTAAAATATGTTTATTAATAACTTAAATATTATTAGATAAAAATAAATACAAATAATAATACATAGGTATTTAACGAATACTTACTTGGAGCAAATAGATATATAATCTCAAATCTTTAAAATACCTATCAATAATTTAAATGTGAAGTAGAGACTAGGATATTACATTTTATTAACACTAAAGTTATATATTTTATAAATGTCTTTTAACTGAGGACAAATGTAATATAGGTATTGTATTAAAAGGTGAATCCTTTTAACTATTCATTCAATGATAAATAGGTATTTTCCTTCCAAATACAGATGGTGGTATTACTCTCTTATGTGAAAAATGATTTCGGAATCTAGTCCAGTGATAAATTGATTATCAATTAGTTGTTGTCCCCGTTTGTCTTTTTATGATGCAGATGCATGGTGAATATATGGTGATCAATGAAGTTTTTCTCGAAGTTTTCAACGTAGCACCAAAATTATTGCAAAACACAGTAGGAAATAAAAAAGCGAAACATCACAATTTTGCAAATAACTAAGACGAAACTATAAACAGAAACCAAAAGCCAAAGCCAACAAAAAATCACTAAAATCAGACGGAAAAATGAAACTAACCAAGAACATAAATAAATACACGTCACATCTTTGGAGTCTTCCCATAAGGCTTAAAAATGGAGTAAGAAATCATAATTTCACCAGTAGCCCCATCTAGAGTTTGGAGCAAATAGCATAAAAAATGTCAGTTGTCGGTTTTGACCTTGATCATTCACGTGGAACCTCTATGTGCTTTGTGTTCTACCCCACTCCAGTTCATTGGCGTGGGGTCTCTAGAAGATACATGCTTTGTGATGAACACGGCCAATGACAACAGGGTTGCCATATCTAAACTGTCAGTCCCCACTGGTAGCCATTTGGACAGGTCGTTGGAATGTCGCTTTCATTGCGTTCGGTCTGCCAAGGTCCTTTAACACTTTTAACTCCAAACGACCCTTTTAGCGTTCGGTTTAGTCCGATTAGTGACAGTTTAACACGCTTAAATGTCATTTAAAAGCACCCTAAAATTTGTCCCGCTCCAGCCCCTGTCTATCCGAACTCGCCTTTTGAGTAATCTCATAACTAAAATAAAAAGAAGAATAATCGAAGATTTTAACCTGTTCTTACCAAAATAAAATTGTGGAATCAAAACGTTCTCTAAAAAATTTTATCTGTTCAAAAAGCTACTAATAAATAGTACCACAATCAAAGATGACAAAATTACGAAAACAAAGAAGAAAGAAGAAGTTCAACCACAATGTTAACAGAAAAAGATTGAGGAATAAAATATTTAAAGAAGGAAATATTGGATGGTATGTATTTGGATTTCTTAAACTAAGGCGACATGATTAATAATAAACGATAAAATCCAAGTGCAATTAACTGCACTGGAGACCTATTTCCTAGTCTATAGAGTCTACTACAAAAGACCAAACTAGACTAAGGTATGTTGACCAATTATTAAAGTATATAATAATAATAATACGTCTTTATAATAAAAACAAATGCATACATACATTTGCACCAGGGAGGCGAAGGTTGGTTAGGTATACAGCTACTATTAACCCTTAACCTTCCTATATCCACAATAAATCTGAAAAAGTCGAGGTGGTAGAGGCTACATGACCTACAGTTCTAAACAAATCTAATAATCGAACTCCAGAGGGGTTTGGAAAATGTATTATTATTTGTATGGGGTTTCGTTAATCTTTCCCATGTTAGTAACTAATGTTTCAAGTTATAAATTTGCAAAATAGTTATGTGGTATAACAGTATGCTTACATGTAAAATAAAATATCAATATAATTCAGTGCAAAATGATGTATCATTGCAATATATAAAAAATAACCTAAGTATCATTTTTTAATTATTTTGTTGTTTTACTCTTTTAGCAAAGAAGTAAAATTGGAATATGACCGCAAGAAATCATTAAAGACCAACCTTCAAGAAATGGGATTAGCATATGATCCAAACCAATCAATAAAAATTCCTCATTCAAAAAGTGAAATGAAAAAAATAATGTCGACCAACAATGATTGGGTTGAAGATTCAACTGAGGAACCAATAACTCTTTCAAAAGCTCATGTAGCTAAATCTTTGGAAGATGATGCAAAAGCACCTAGAGAAAAAAAATTCAGGTTACCAAACAGTCAAATTGAATGGGTCACCTACCTTATAGAAAAATATGGAAATGACTACAAAGCCATGGAGAGAGATAAAAAGAATTATAATCAAGAAACTTGGAAACAAATTAGACAGAAAATTAAACGGTTTATGAATATACCAGAACAGTATAGTGAATTTTTGAAGAAGAGTAACATACACTTAGAGGTGGATAATAATGTCTCTGATGATGAAATATAATAAGATTAATTTGTATTGTTTATATGTGGAAAAGGTAAATATAGATGGCCTTTTTTTAAAAATGCAATTTTTTTTACAAATTTTACATTTCAGGCTTTAGGTAGGAGAGTATTTTTCAAATATATCACCGGAAACCCCATAAGGCTTATGAGAATCATTAAATAATCATTTATGTAAATATATTCATTAGAATTATATAAATGTGTGGTGTTGCCAAGTGTCCAATTAAAATCAACGAAAAAGAAATGTATAAAAAGTACATTTCCATATCGTCGGCTTAATATGGAAAGTACATAAGTTTTTGATTCTGTAATTTTGGCTGAATCTGGTACACCGCGGCTAAAGCTACAGAAATATATTCTTAGTTTACGAAAATTGTCACTAGATTTTGCTAAAAACATTACTATGAAATCTGCATAAGTCCCTTAAGATTGACATGCCTATGAATATTGCATAAGTCCTAATTATTAACATGGCGTCAAATGCGGCATTGTTAATTGTGTGCATAGTTTGTTGCTTTTTAAAGTAATTTGCTGCTGTATTATATAACGCTGGTAATAATAACGTAAAGGAAAGTACAAGTGACTCATTGTTATATTAAATCGATTATACTTCAACAAATATTAATCTGTAAACCGTGTTTAAATTTTGAATGGAGTTGTGCAATTTTCATAACAATAACGTACTAGTAATTTTTATTTAAATATAAATTTTAAATAAGCCCATGAATTCGTTTTTTGTCTCTCCTGTAAAATTGTTCATTTCGGACTTATACAATTTTCATATTAAGCCGACGATATACTTTAAAGAGCACAATTTATTTCTAGTCACATCTGACGATTTATTTATTCATTTTGATTAAATTGCTATAGTACATTGTTAGTGTTGATAAGAATTCAACTTAAATATACTGCATTACGCCACTGCGTTAACAATAACAAACAAGTCCAATTGGGTTATTTTATTTTATTATTAAAATCACAAAATATAAAATCTTATATACATAATAATTAACTATTAATATTACATTATCTATAAAGTAATAAGCAATGTATTTTTCTAAAACTTTTAAACAATTACTTTTTTGAAACAAGGGAATTTATTTGTTTAACAAATGACGTCAGCCAGCCGAATTTAAAGACAACTATCAACTAAAGAGGATAGCTGAATTAGTTAAATTTGTGCTGGGTTAACTGTGACGTCTCTCAGTGGATACTTTTAATGATTACCCATTTAAAACGTACATCTATACACCCTTTTTTAAATTACGACGTTTAACATTTTTATTTTTAAAACAAAAAGTATTTCAGATATTCAAAAATAGGTAAGTAGTTGGTAACAAATTAAAATACTATGGCCATGTTATTTTTTAATTAAGAAATATTGATAAATTTGAAATGTTAAGATATAAGTTGAAATGTGTACAAACAGTATCATAACATACTAATATTCAGATTCCTGATAGGTTTACAAAACAGATTTGAATATTTTATTAAATAAATCAAGTTAATAAAAAATATACTGGTTTGACCAATACTCCAAAATTACGCAGGACAGGTTATACCTTTGTGGGTTACCATTTGTTTACTCTACTTTTAGTAATAATTGCTGATAAGGATCATATGTCCATAAATTTATATTAATTAATGTTTATCTTTTGTGTCATCATTTTTAGTTAATAAATTTTATTATATATTTTTTTAAATAATTTTTCTATTAAATTTAAATTAAAACTGTTAAACCTGCATTGTGGTAACTTTATTAGTTCGAATACATCGTTGTGTTATTTTGTAATAATGATAGGCAAGGGGCCCTATCCTCGGCTATCGTTTTCTAAAAAAACGTATATGCTTTAGCAACAAGTGAGATATTCGCTATTCTCGACATTGTATTAAAAGCGTGTACGTTTTTAAAACGGGTGTTTTACAGCGATCGGAATTTTTCACACGTTTTTGATGAAACATGCATGTTTTCAAGGATTTAGCTAATGCCACTTTTAGGATGATTAATAATCAGAGTTGGGTCGGATACAGGAAAAAAGTATCCGAGTACCGGATACGGATACTTATAATGTATCCGGATACTTTCACCTAAAAAGTATTCGGATACTTTCTTGGATACTTTTACGGATACTTTTAAAGTGAGTTAAAATAATGTTTTCATACCAATAGTTATACTTATGCAATACGATTGATTACGTGTAACAATAAAAAATACTAGGCATAAATAAATTATCGAAAATGGAAGGCGATATAATAGAAACAGGAAAAAACTACTCAATAAATTGTTTATTATTTTTATTCTGTGAATATAAAACCTTAAAACAAAATGAATAATAAAACATAAAGGTGCGTAAATAAAGCGAGTCGCGCCTGAACCACGCCAAAAACCAGTCAGTGTCGTGTCTATATAAATCTAAAGAAATTCTACATATATATCGAAATTTTTATTCTTAATATTTTTGTTATTTTAAACTGATCTGCCAAGATAAAAATATATATTTTTTAATTATGCTCTTTTAAAAAACTGGCTCCCGATAAATCTATATAATGACATTATGTAACCATTCCTAAAATTTCAAATTTATTTTTACATTTTTAAAATTACTTTAAAAATGGATTTTTAAAATAATTTTACATGTTAATAGAAAAAAGTAGAAATTTTAAATTTCAGGAATATATTTATCTTGGCAAATCAGCTTAAATTAAAAAATTATTACAGAGTTTCGCGTAAAATGTGAAAAAAAAATTAATTTAAATCGCTTGAGAAATATGAATCAAGTATTTTTAAGGGTATTACTTCCTCTTAATGGATCAGTTACGATTGTGGTAAATAATTTAAAAGTATCCGAATGCCGAAAAAAGTATCCGGTATCCGGATACTTACAAATTTGGTCACGGATACCGGATACAAAATTTGAAAAGTATCCGGATACAGCTTTCGGATACACATAAAGTATCCAGATACAGAAGTATCCGGATACTACCCAACCCTGTTAATAATATTGATTGATTTTAACAAATTCTAGGTAAACTACTTTTTATTAATACCTACAAAAGTATCTAAATTCTTATAAATATAGTTTGCAGTACTAAAAAAGTTTTCAATTATTATTAATTGTAAAAATCTGATGTGTCCAACACATGACTTTCCTATCTAGTTATTACAGGCTTTTTCCGGTTATTTTGTACAACCTATTGCAGCATCTCTATAAATGTTTAGAGGATAAACTAAATATATACATTGTCCACATACATCTACCGCGAAACATTTTTCTATAGATATTCTTTGAAAATGAAAATACTGAAACATTTAAATTTAGCACTTTTCCTACAATTTTTCCATTACGGTCCATTTTAAAAAAATCATGTATGAACAAATATTATAGAGATCGATATCGCAAACAACTTTTATTTCAACAATTTTCATAAAAATCAGAATTTTGCACATTTTGTCAAATTTTTCGAATACGGACCATTTCAGGAAATTTTTACATAAAGCAAAAATTATAGATAATAATATTAGAAGTAACTTTTATTTGAACAATTTTATTCTCCAAACATAAATAACAGATATATTCCATAAAATATAAAAACGGCCTCCCATAAAGTACCCCCCCAGATGTTCCGACTTTGTCCAAAATCTAATCATTTCACGTCAGGCCGAAATAAAACTTAAGTTTAAAATTTAATGTTTTTTTCTTTATCCGTTTTTGAGTTTTCTTCAAATTTCGAAATTTACACATTTTCTCAAATATCTCGAATACGGTCCATTTTAGAGAAATTATCTATAGAATAAAAATTATAGAGAATTATATTACAAACAACTTTTGTTTGAACAATTTTTATAAAAAAAAATATTTTTTTACATTTTGTCAAATTTCGCGAATACGGACCATTTTAGGAAAATTTTGTATATAACAAAAATTATAGATAATAAAATAAGAAGTAACTTTCATTTGAAGAATTTTCTTCCCCAAACGTAAATAACAGATATATTCCATAAAATATAAAAATGACCACCTATAAAGTACCCCCCAGATGTTTCGACTCTGCCCAAAATCTAATCAGCTCATTAGACGCTGGAATAAAGCTTAAGTTTGAAATTTGGTGTTTTTCCGTGTATCGGTTCATGAGTTATGCGTTATACAGACACACACACACACAGACATCATCGCGAAAATAGTCAAAACGGATTCAGGGGACCTCAAAACGTAAAAATCCGTCGAAAACTCGAGGTCGAAAAAAATCATGATTCCTATACTTTCCTTATATCTGTATATATACAGATAGGAAAGTAAAAATAGAAAACTTGGAAGATAAGAATACTCAAAGATTCAGACATGCAAAGGCAGAATTAATTTTTTGAATTTAATGGATATTGAATGAATATTTTTTATATCTTACCGTGTAAGAATTTAATTATTAATTCATGTATGTTTTATTTAGATATTAATTTGCTTGCGGTTTCTTGCAAGTGGTAGTTCAAGACTCTTCGTATCACATGTTGTGTCTTGAAATTTTAACGATTTTGTAAAATTGCCACAAAATATTAAAGGACTGAATGAAATAAGCAAAGTTATTATTTAAATTAATTTTGTACCATAAAAACTAGGTTTTTTATAACGATTTTCCTGGAATTATAGGTTGCATTGACTACTGCACCCGTATAGCTATTTTTCCGCAAAAATTAACGATTCAGTTTATCCTGAACATTTATATATTGTGATTAGAAAAAATCATCATTCAATAAATTTACAATAATTGGTTTGTTGTAATTAAATTACATAATCCTTATTTTTTTTATGGCCTGCACATTACTTGAATTCAACAATATAGACAGTTTACAGTGATGCCAGACATATTATTTGCTTGTTAAAAACGTACGTTTAAAAAAACGAATGCTCATCGAACGCCAGTCAAGAATATAGATTTCAAAAACTACTCGCTTTTCAACCACTCACTTTCGGAAACGGTTTGTTTTTTAACGATTGTCGAGGATAACCGCCCTGGTAATTTTTGACATAGTGAGCGAGGCGCCCGGCGTTTCCATATTCGTGCGATATGCGAAACGTCGGCCAGGCGTCCCCTTTTTCTACCTATATCATAACAGAACGCTGCGCTAGGCCGACCCACCTCCTAATCTCTATAGAAGAGAGCGAGCGCGCTCGGTCGATGTTATCGTCGACCCGACGCGCCCAGTCGGTGTTAACGTCGACCCGACGCGCCCTTTTTACACCTACACCATAAGAGCACGGTACGCTTGTCCTACTCACTTCCTAACCACTACAGAAGAGAGCGAGCGCGTCCGGCCGACGTTTCGGGTGCGCTCGCTCTCTTCTGTAGTGGTTAGGACGTGGGTGGAATGCGCGTAGCGTGCTCTTGGTGTAAGTGTAAAGATGACGCGCCCGCTTTCATTTGTAGTTGTCAGGACGTGGGTGCAACATCAGCCGAGGGCGCCCGCTCCCCTCGCTTTTTTGTGATGGTTAGAATGTGGGTGGGACCATAGAAAAACTAAAAAGGGTGGGACGAGCAAAGCATACTTTTATGATGTAAATATGAAAACGGCCCACTGGTCTAAATTTATTTAAGGTGCCTTGGTGGCAGGGCCAGTAAAAGAAATTTGACTAAATACTATACACTTCCAAGGAGTAGATGCATCTCCTCTATCCTAACGACAGGCGACGAGAGTGCCAGAACGACATTTTGATATTTTTTTAATGAAAGTTGTAGGAACTTTTGTTCTTGCACTAATTTAGAAAGGTCGTCCGGGCGCGAATTTAGTGCCAATTTACTGAAAAGAACTTCTTTTATATCCTATCGCAAGCAAATGACAAGATTTATTACAAAAACGTACATATAAAAGAAAACAATATATTTAAACTATTTACTGTTCACTTTTACATTACATAAACTAACTCATTATAAGAATTTTTGATATCATATTGCAAGCAAATGACAAGATTTATTACAAAAATATACATATAAAAGAAAACAATATATTAAACTATTTACTGTTTATTAATCATTAATTTTATAGTTCTAAGGTTATGTTTGAAGATAATGAAGTGATACGTATCATATTAATATAGCAAGGACTTGTTCGCGATAGTGTTACATGTCTGACTTCCAGTAGTATACAGTCCTCAAATTGGGATCGAAAGGACTATCGTTAAATATTTAAAAAACAAGAATAAGAAAAATGTAGCTTTCAAAGAAACGTTTTTAAAGATACATTCTTCAACAAAACTCATTTGAGAAAATGTTAAAAGTTTGTATTGTGTAATTCATTACAATGATCCGCAGACCAAATAAGGAAGTAAAAATCGATGAAATAATAATCGGAAAATGAAACATACAACAATACATAATACTATGAAGAAGGTGGGTATAGTTCGGCAGCCAATCGGAAGAAGTGGTGGAAACGCTCCCGCAATGTCGGAAAACCTCGTTTAAAAATGAATTCCGACAAGTAAGCTTCGTAATTGCCTGACTGTCTTCCGAAACAAGGCACTTTTGCTCGTAACTCTCTCCACATTCGTTCCACATTTTGTGTGTGTGCTCCTGAGTCAGGGTCTACAAAATTGCATGAGTGATTTACGGTCTGGTATGGAAGTCCTGAAACAAGACAAAAGAAATAATCTCTCTACACCCACATGGATATTAGCTATTCTACACACAGACTACAAAACGAGAAAGTAGGCCATTGCGTTTAACTAAACGAATATACTTCACATGCATTGAATCTAGTAAGAACTACACAAATATGAAATCCACCAATCACAGTTCATAATTTGGTCAACAAGCTATTATTTTGTAAATATTAAATAAGTGACAATTTTATCAAACTAATTGTCAGTATTTTTTTTTTTTTTAGTTCTTGAGATTAAATTTAATTAGAAATGCATGGTTTTTGTGAAAACTATTTGCAAATAAATCAAATTTTATTTAAACTATATAAAATCAATCAAAATCATAGAAAAAGCATACTGTACAACTAATGAATTGTCCATATTGCACTTAAGTGATCAAGCACTAAGCCTATAGGGTTGAGCTCAAAATTTCTCTTGTTGCACAATCTATTATTGTTGTCTATGATTTGTTGTTACATAATCTACAATAATAAAACCTAAACTAAACCACCATACATTATCTCTGTTCTAGCCAAATTAGGGTAATCTTGTAGTTAAAGGATCTGGCAATGTATCTGTTCTAGCTAGTTCTGACAGTTTGAATCGTAACATATAGTTTCCAGGTTATATTCCATTATTTGGAATCCGGAAATAAGCATATTGAAATAACTATTTTATTTATTTAACGGGAAAACCCCTTTATAGTAAAATAATACAGTGGTATTTAACCTACATAGATACAAAAAATAGATTTTATTATTGAATCACAGATATCATGTTTTTAAAGCTTTGACCTCAAATTAGGTTCAAAGGAGCTCAGGGAAGGACCAATAAAATAAATGCACTGTTCACCAAGCATATTGGCTGTTCTTGATAAGCGAGAGACAGGAGCGTGACATCCATAATTTGTATAATGAAATGGAACAGCCAACAAATTGTGGTTACGAGTGGTCCTATTCTGAACCCTAAGTGAGAAAAGGGACAGAAGTTCTGGGCAACAAATATCTCCTGACAATATCATATAGATCGAATAGAAGCAATTCAAAGACGATTTTTAAAACTGCTAAGCCTGAAAACTGATGGCATTTATCCTCTAATAGGTACACAAAAGCATAACTTTTTCAGTCTCGATAGAAGGCGTGATTATTATAGTGTAGTAGTAACTTATAAAATTATTAAAAGTATTATTGACTGCCCAACCTTATTAGAAAAGTTTAATATTTGCATTCCCAGAATTTCTTCCAGACACCCGAATACTTTTTATATAAATACATCTCGCACAAATGTTCTGGAAAATTCTCAGCTCCATACCATGTGTACAGTAACAAATTCTATTGTCAATGAACTTGATATATTTAGTTGCAATTTGTCAGATATAAAATCTCACTTTTTATCTTAGTTAATTTGTTACCTATTACGAAATACAAGTTCTTTTTGTGTGCTTAACATTCATATAAAAAATGTGATCTATTAATAATTATATTCTGTCAATTCCTGCTCTGTAATTGGGTTTATGACCTGTAGAGTATTGTATTATAAATAAATAAATAACAAAGTCATTTCCATAAATATTCTACAGTTTTCTAATGTTAATGAAGTTAAGTGTATTCAAAACTTCCTCTTAACTGTAATTGCCAACCTGTAAGTGTATTTTATAAGCTGCAATCTCAAAAATTTGTGTTGTATTTGTTCAATTGTTGAGATATGAACTGAGTAATAGGGCATAATAGGACTATAGAAGCATAGTACAGTAATGAACATACCAAAGCATTAAAAACCACTAAAATAGCTTTAATTGATAAATCCTTCAAATTAC